CTTACTTACAGGGTAGGGTTCTAGAAACAGGCCTTAACCAGCTAGAGGGCAGCAACATCCCTAGTTAAATTAATATGCATTTGGTAAAATCGCATTGATATTCAACAATAAGTCTATGTAAAAATCTAGACACACTTATATCTGGATACTCTGGCAACAGGCCCCGACTAGCAAGAGAGCAGTCTGGTTTCAATTCCAGTAATATCCCCCTGTTAAATTAATATGCATACCGCAGTGTAAGGTTTTATAAGAAATGCTCTCTTATAGAAACATTGGCGTAGGTCACAAGTAGAGACTATGGCCTATTAGTGATATTCACCAATTTGTCATAGTTGAGTGTATCTTAAATAGTATGTTTTTGGCAACAGGCCCTGTCTAGAGGGCAGTCTGGTTCTAATTCTAGCAACATCCCCAAGTTAAATACCCATCATTTAATATGCATATCAAAAAATCTCATATCAACTGATAGATACAGCTTGTGAAAGATTGCAGAAAACATATGATTACCAGACATAGAGTCAGATCTGCAGGGGATATGAAAATCAATTAGATATTTTGGAACGATTTCACGAAGCTGTCAGTGTTATTTTCTGGATAAGTTAAAGAGATATAACTGTTGGTAATATTTAATCTTTTAAAAATCATCTAATACGCTAAATTACGCGTGTAATGTATTTATAGGTAGGCATTATGATGTAATTTTTCTCTAAATATTCAATTTAAGATTGAGTTAAGTTTTTTTTCAGCCACCCAGAACACACTGATATCAACTGTTATGTGAATTATGAAATTGAGAATCATGATATGATGCAATGAGTTTAAGAATCTTCCGCTGAGTTTTTTCAGTTCACCAGCTGATAGACCTCACTTATGCTATGTACATAGGCAAATCCAGTGAGCAGAGAGGAATTCTGCAATGAGCCATTTGCACTGGCATTGAGTTGTAACGTCTTGGTTAATGTATTGGTTAATGTATTTTTCGTAGAAGACTATATTATACTACATAGCAAACAAAAACCATTCTTGTGCCCTTAACATAAAGGTCTACTAGAATAAGTTTTGTTTTAATAACCATGATATTTACTATAATAGCAGTGCTTATCATGACATCCTCTACAGATAGTCTGCTATGCTAATAAACCTTGATAGTCCACAGTAATACACAGTACTTTTTGATAGTCCACATAGTTAATAACCATACTTTTTTGGTAGTTTTTTGTGTTTTTACCTACTTATATATTTACATCATTCTCAGTAATAGACAAATTAATTGTACTTGTCACATTTTATCCTAAAACACGATCCGACAAATGGGTTACTTTACTGATAACTAATGTTTTATGCCTATTATTTTTTACTGAATTATACAGATCTCATTAATACTATACATATTGATTGAAAGGACAAGGAAATGGGTTGAGTTTTTAAAACAGGATGGGTTAGGGCAAAGTCCAAGAAATTTAGCATACGACATGCAGTTGCTTGCAGGTACCCCTGATCTAGTCCAAAAGTTTGCTGTACAAAAAAAAAAATACCGAGATGATTTGGATTTGGACAAAATAAGAATCAACAAGTTATGTCCTCAGAAAATTTGATATTTCAACTATTATTCTAATAAAATGACTTGTATTTTATTTTTATACAAATATTTATTTTATGATATTTAAGTGTACATATTTCAAACACGTGTTTCTGAATTGTTTTTATCCAATCTAAAGTGTGTTTTATAAATTCCACATATATAAGACATTGTTATATTGACTTTAAAGAAGTGAAGTTTTGTGTTCATCTAATTTTGATGAAAATTCTGTCTAACAATTCTAAATTTACAATTTCTAATTTAACTTTAGCCAGTCTTTTCGAAGTGATCAACAAATTTGCAATTTCTTAGACATTTTTGGTATATTGCCCCATACTGTGTACAGATAGTTTATTTTTATGCTATTAATTGAAATTCTTAGACAAATGGTCTTCTACCTCTCATGAATCAAAGGATGACCAATCTTAATTATCATAACTTTGTAAGTTTTATCTGGGATGTGTCTCGCTGAAAAGCAAATAATGACCAATTGTGATGAGTGTAACTTCGAATTTTTCGTTTGGGATGTTACATGATGAGAAGCAATACTTATACAGGTGTACCTTTCTTATCAATTTCACTGAACGATTGCCTTCCTTGACAAACTGTAACAAATTTTCATCTGGGATGCATGCTTTGTGATGAAAAGCAAATAATGACCACTTGTGATGATTGTAACTTTGAATTTTTCATTTGAGATGCTACATGATGAGAAGCAATAGTTTTACAGGTGTACCTTATAGTGTCAATAACACTGTTACACAAACATTGAATTGAATTGAAAAGTTTCAGTTTGATCAAACTCTGTAGATGTTGACAAGTACAGAAGATTGAAAAGTTAACAATGAAATAATAGCTAAGTGGTGTTAGTTGAAGTTAATATGTTGATATAGCTGGTTTAACATTAGGTATGTTAGAATTGGACATTATTAGCACACACGAGTCTTCGTGACAGAACCTATTTATTCTTCATCCTCATCTTTTTGTGTAATTCAAAGGGATGGTAAAGGGGTTTTCTAGCTTTTTTACGTGTATCGGGAACATTTATAGCTTCTGTTGCACAATGGTGCCGTATTCTGTTTTCTTGTCCTGATACTTAAAAGGGATTGTGAAGAGGTTTTCAAGATATTTTATGTGTTTCAGGGACACTGATAGCAGCGGTTTGCATCATTCCAATCATCCATCAGATATCTGTGGTTTCTGTAATGATAGAAATGCATAACCATATATGATGTCACTATTGCAAAAAAATGCTAATGATAACTCAAAGCCTTTGCTATAGAAACGTCATAAAATGAAAAGTTTTAATGGAATTGCAAGAGCGACAGACATCAGCTGACTGAAAATTGGAATGAGTCCCAAATAATAATAAAAGTTAAAAAAAAATTCTTTACAATCCCTTTAAAGGTAGATTATTTGAGTATGGTATTGTTACAAGTAACCTAAGATATAAAGATCAGTGGTTAGTCAGGATTAGTTTTCCTGTCCTCTCTACACCTTTACTGTTGTAATATTAGATCTAATCATCCTGTATTCTTATCTCTTATTATAGTATTGACCATGTGAGTTGTAGACACTAGGGTGTAGGAGGGGCGTGTATTAACATCCCCAACTCTATCCCTCACTATTCTCCTCCACAACTTTCTATCTCGAATCAGCCCCCTCTATCCTCCCAGCCAATTCTTAGGAGGAAGGTTGTCGAAACATAATTCTACTTTCAGCATATCATAATGGTCCCCTCCCTACATCTACATTATGATTAAGTTTTGGCCATTGTTCTAAATCATTTGTCAATGTTTCTACAGTTGTGATATAAGATTTTGTTTATTATGAATGAAATGTTGTTAAATTGGCTATATTGTATTGATCAGTCTGATTTAAACATAAAAATATAGCACTTCATTTTTGCTATTGTGTTTATTTTGTTAAGAAATATTACTACAGCCACATTATTTCACAAAAAACACTAATCATATCTCATAGCGGAGTGTCTGTTTTAAACCATTATATATTCTATGAGAGAGAGTATTGTTATAAAGTAATGTATTAGAATAGTGTTTTAGTAAAAGGTACTGATGTGACGTCAAAGTTGTCAGAAACATACTTACATCTATTTGGTATCTAATGAAGTGCAAATTCTAAGGACTTTTGGGTCTCGGAATTCTCAAAATAGACAAGCTAGTAGCTACAAGAGACCATTCATTTTGACTTGGGCATAGTGATTAATGTCAGAAAGTTATAAAAGATTCAACAAGTTGCAAATACAGATCCTTTAAGGGATTGTAAAGAGGTTTTGTATATATTATATCAGGGACACTGATAACATCTATCTACATCATTACATTCCCAGATACACATACAAAATTTGAAAAACTCTTTACAATCCCTTTTACTGTTATAATCAGTATTAAAGTCTTCATAATGGTCAGCAATATTAAAACATGCAAGATGGTCATTGTTGAAAGTAAAACAAATTTAAGACTTGAGTTTTTCTAGCTCTTTGATAGCTGACAACTATCAACTCAGTATATATTTTGGAATACATTCTAACAGCTTTCAGACAGCAATGGTCAATGTTGTCAGTTTGTTTCGGACTAAGGTCATTGTTGACAGTAGTAAGTGACACACTTGACATGTGGACTCAACATACTAACAGCAAAACAACTACTACTATACCTAATCTCTATGTAAATTAAACCACCATTCTTGTCATGTCGGTCAAACTTTTCATTAATTTTCTCCCATATTTACATACTTTGACTTGGCCAGGGTCTCTTTGACTTTTGTACGTTAAATACCAATTTTTTTCACAAGGATAATAAGGTTAAGCCCTACTGGTCACATTTACTCTTTAATGTTGACATTAAGAACATGGAGTTCACAAATAGACTGTAGTACGTCTACTTTGAAATGGACACGAGTTATTTTAGGGTGGCTTGTCTGAAAATGGAAATAACCAAATTTAACCATATTTTATATGGATCAGAATGAACTGTTCTGAGAATGGATAACGTTTACACTACGAAATTTTATTTGTTCTGCTCTGAGAACTGTTCTGAAACGACCTCGCCTCGATGGTCTGGAATTGAAACAGTTCTTAGAACTCTTGACCGTTTACATTACAAGTTTTTCATCTGTTCCTTTCTTGCAACTGCTCTTCTAACATATGATTCTATATAATGTGAACAGGGCTTAAGTGTAATTTATGAAATCTGTTGTTGCAAATTATAAATCTTTAAACAGTCTAGTTTTCACAGAGAACCTCTTTAATCCATCTGTCAAGAATCCGAAATGAAATATTATTATTACCATTCAGGGTGGCAGAGGTGAGATTTTTCCCTCTAACAAATATCCAATTTGATAACAATTAAGACAAATATTCTACATAACCCTGAGTTTAAATGTCTACTGTAAACAAGAAATGGCATTTAATAGGAGGTTTTCTACAAAAGATAAAGGTGTAAAGTTGAAGTCTGCATCTCATTGTAATGATGAAGATTGTTTCTATGATGATAGTAAAAGGGTGGTACCATCAAACTTAGTCCGAGGCTAGATTTGTTAACTTGGCTGTATTTACCAGATTTAAGTTTCAAAATATACAGTGTACTCTATGATATCCGACATCTGAGTATTCCGACATTCTGCGTATATATCATTTTCTGGTACCAATTGATTTCCTTTCTTAGGCTAGTATAAAGAAAAACTCTGAGTACTCAGACACACTGTGTATTCTGAATTACGAATTAATCAGTGGTCCCATCACTCAAAAAAAATCTGTAAAATCCAACATGTCATCTTAATCACTTATCGCCAAGTAGATAATCGCTTATTTTATTGATAATCCAGATCAAATCACATGAAAACAACTAAATTCTGCTGATTAATCACCGCCAATGACCTCGCTTCAAGATCAAGGTCATTGCCTTTAGATCAACTGGCATAGGTACTCGTATCATTCATTACATCGTATAGAACAGATATATGCAACTTGTCCAATCTATGTTTCTCGTTTTATCAAAATTCTCTAGCTAGCAATTACTGTTCTTTTGATCTCAGAGACATTCAATTATAATCAGTTATAATGTGCCAGTTTTTGTACATTATTCATGCTGAAAGAAAATAACTGTTAAGACTATTAAAATACAATAAATTTCCAATAAAACTTAGTCTACGTTTTCTACTTTCAATTTTAAGATGTATCTACTGGAAGTCAAAATATTCAGATTTTGGACTAAATCCTCAATTCAAATTCAAATCATAATTTGAAGATATAGGTTGAATATTTTTTCAAAAAAATAATTTTTCAAGACTGATTTTTGTTTATTAATAGCTCGGTCAACACAGATACCGTGGGGTTCAATAATAATATTTCGGACTATATCATACACAATGAGTATCTGGTAGATATAAGAATATATAAAATACTCAGGAGAGTAAAAGAAAGATAATTGGTAGTTATTATCTGTTAAATAAAATATCAATTTATAACAACTGTTGTCTATATCTGACTGCAGGTCGGAAACTTTTATCACCAGGAGAAAACTCATACACAACAGATTAAGAAGTGTAGGCAGACTAGCACAATATCTAATATAGCCTATGTTAGAACAGGTCAGGAAAAAAAATCTGGAGATTTGCATATATTATATAGGACTCAAAAATGGACCTTTTATCACAAGGAGAAAAGTGATAAACATATTGTTTAAAAGTATCCTTGTAGGAATATACGTAGATAGCTTATTGAACAATGAACACTTTTCCATGAGGAAAATCTTGAGCTGACACATTGTGCTCCTTTGTCTTGTCTTTAATTTTCCATTTTTTTGTTCGAGATATTTTTCATATTGCAATGCTTTCTTGAATTCTTGTTTATACTTTCGTATACATGTAAAGAAACGGGATAAAAGGGGGTTATTGTTATGGTTTGAATCAATCATCAGTTCTAGTGATAATGGTGTTCTAAGATGAATCTCCATGAAAGCACTGGCCGAGGTCACAGAGCAATAGATAAGCTTATTAATTATGTGAAAATTAGTTAGTTATTAGTGTGATTTTAGTTTAAAAGACACGCACACAAACATACACGCACTCTGACATATAATATACTGTATATAGCCATGGCACCAGTCCTGAAATAAGTATTCCCTGAAATCTATCTTAGAAATCTAGTGTTATATAGTGTTAATAGTTAGATAACACTTAACACTTCTCTAACTAGGTGTTAACTATCCCAGTGTTATTATAGTGTTTAATATTCAATATATTATAATCAATTCCAGTAAATATAGAGGGTTAATATTATGGTTTGGATCCATCAACAGTTCTAGTGTTACATAGTGTTAATAGTCATATAACACTTAACATTTCTCTAACTAGGTGTTAACTATCCCAGTGTTATTATAGTGTTTAATATTCAATATATTTCTATTTGTCATCTAATTTTACAATAATTAGTTCTATTATGACACATATATTTTGCATAATGACCAATTATATACATTTAATATACAAAGGTTTATAAATTATCATGTTTCACATTTTTACTTACTCCAATATTTTAAAATTCTATCCATCCATGACAATTATTAATTAACCTACCTATTAAAAAAACCTACAACTATTTTTCCAATCTTCATACATTATCATATACATACCTGATTTCATACTACTACATATTCCAAGTGCTTCCTGAAATCGGATCATCTCCTAAACTATTGTTACACAAATACAAACATATAATCTGATTTAAATAATGTAATTGAATGAACTTTGTGGAACTAGCTTACAATATGAAGATTTACACAGATAACGTTGTTTATTTTGCTTATTTCCATATTTGCAAACATTAATGCACTTAAATTTCACAAGAGGATTTTTAAATACAAGTTTTGGAGAAATTTCTATTGATATAGCAATTGATTGAAAATCATGGAACTAGCTCCTGATAGCCTGTCTCATATTTGCATATTATTTGGGTAATAAATTGATACCAAGACCCTAAATTTTTTTAGAAAAAGTGCCTTAATTCAGTATGATTAAATTCTCCTGTTTATATTTTCAGGACCTCCTGGTAATAAAGGTGATGCTGGTCCTAGTGTAAGTATCCACAATTAATCATTTTTTAGATTATTCTTTAACGATAATTAAGTTAATGAAGCTTTTATTTTTCAAAATTAGACATGTCACTCACAGTTCTCTTTCGTTCAAACAGATGTTTCTTCTAATTCAAGTGCACAGTTAAGGTTTAGTTTATCATCAGATTGCTAAAATTTCTTTTGAAAACTTATTTTTAAGAATTTGTTTCTCATCACATTTAGTTTTTTTTTTTATAACTATTCATATTCATGTGTGACCCACTGCTACAAAGGAAGGCATATGGACAAATTTCTGAAGACACAGATGTGGCCCCATTTTTCTCCAATCTTCTGTGTTCACTTCTTCAGTCAAAAACTGGGGCCTGTTGCACAAAAACTAAACATTGGATGACTCCATTGTTCCAGTCATCTGATTAGTCAATCACTGAAATAGAGAAGTTTACAGTTATCAGCCAGTCATATTACTGTATAAATTTTTGGAAACAGGCCCCTGGCCCATTTGTCTATTTCTAAGTGCAGGATAATAACTTATGAAATGGGATATTATCGAATCATTTTGTATAATCAATTAATGCAGCTATAGGGCAGAAGGTGAAGGAAGGTGCATGAGCTGTTGGTGTATATAATGTATATAAATGTAAAAGGCCCAATGTAAAATCCCTGTATTATTGTATATCATACGTCCCTCTCTAGTTTCCATAGTAATCCAAATTCCTGTAAATGTTGGAGCTTGAAATTATCTTCAAGGGCAGAACATATCTGCTCGAATATTTTTATATTCCTCTCCTTAGTACCCAAATTCTTGAAAATGTGTTTACCCGTATTTAATGGAGCTTGAAATGGCTCACAAGGGCAGAGCAGAAAAGAATTGATCTTTTGATTTGTGGGTCTTAAAATGCACCTCACATATTCTATACCTGTACATTTATGTGTTGATCTCCCTCCCTCTCTCCCTCTTGATTGTTTCTATGGAATAAGAAGTGTATAGCACAATATCAAAACTAGTATATGTAAATACACTGAAGAATACCACTCTGTTTGAAATCCTTTGTGTACATGAAACAAACGAAACAAATGGTGGCTTAAATAAGTCACCTACCTACACTCATAATTCCAGTCAACCCAAATGGGTATGGATAATCCTGGAAAGATCCATGCCAAGTACAGCGGGTAGAAAGGATCCTTTGTGAACCTAAGTTGTTATCCTTGTAATATGTAGATGTTTCTTTTCTTTTTCTCTCTTTATGCAGCGCCAATTGTCATGAGTAATTCGTTGTTTGTATGTAATTCCCAGTTAGTCCATTAGTTTATTGTATATATGTTGTATTACAGGGTCCAAAAGGAGAAAATGGTTTCCCGGTACCAATTTTTATTATAACTTCTCTTTTCTCCTGATTCTTATAAACTGTTTTTCCCTTGTGATATAGATCTCCAATCGTTATGCTTATCTTTGATCTTAATTTTCCAGAGTCTTCTTTATATATCTATGTATATATTCTGTTGCTTCTCAGAACTAAATACACAATATTATAGTACAGAAATATCTTGAAAAAATGAATAACCATAATGGTATAAATGAAGAGCCGTTTGTCAGGATATTTTGAGTAATGCTTTATGTGATGTTTCAAAATTAGAGAATATAGGCAATATTAATATTGTGCATTTAGCTTCTTCATTTCTAAAGTATTTTCATTTCTAATCTAAGCCTATTTCATATATATGAGCTTAAGCTTTTAATATAACTATCAAGCTTCTTAATAATGTAGATAGTTAAACATATAATACTGTAATATATCTCAAACTAACCTCTTACAATATAATATAAAGTGCTTCCAATCATATCAAAAGATATGGTTTATTCAGGAGAGGATCTGAGATATCTTCGTTTATGTTAATTTGTTTGATGATGTCATTGTTTTAGGGTCCAATAGGATTACCAGGATGGCCGGGAGCAAAGGTAAGAAATCTGTTTTCATAATTTTTGTTAGTTTTCGTAAAAACCCATTTCTGTAAAAGGAGATTTGAAGCCACATCATACTGGCAGTGATTTCCAAATGCTCCATTTGGTGATATCTGCATTTGAGAATTCAGTTATTATTGAGATGTCTATTATGTTCCTTTAAGTAGAGTTAGTTCCAATGAGTTTATTTGCTTTATATATTTTGCTGTTGCCCTATCTACTGTTGGTGTACATTACCTTGGCTGACAAGGATTGTTGAAACTATTAAATTTGAATTCTTTAAGCAACCATGCATTTAAATACTTTCAACAACTCTCTAAAATTAAAAAGATATTAAAATAACAAACACTAGGGGTTTTAAAGTTAAAATACCTGCTTAACCAATTAAAATTCCAAACATATAAAATGTGATATCTGTAGTAAATCTTTAAATTGTAAGACTTAATTGAAATAAGGTAGATTACACTGTACAGTTCATAAACCATTGTTAAAATAACTATCAAATCAGATGTAGGATACATCAACAAGATGTTTTACACTTTTAACAGCATGTAAATTATTCTAGTCTTTAGATGTTTGAGACTGGAGGATGTTTTTATTGGGTGTACTGTCAATCAAGCGTAGTACTCTAAGATATAAACAGTATAAGTATAATAATAGGTTGAATACCTGTTAATACAATATATCGTCAGTGGTTTTCAGTACATAAGAGAGTAGGGTGCAATTTATCTTTTACTTTTTGCATATTATGAGGTATAGAGTTTAATTTTATAGCCTGCAGACTCATTGAATTATTTAGCAATATGGCAAGAATTTGTGAAATTTTCAACTAACTTATTTGACGAAAATGGTCCATAGTATTGCAAATACCTACCTATACTTTAAAAGTGACAATTTCAATTGATCATAATTGGCAAATATTGTAAGAACAACATCCCTGCTCCATAACTCAGTCTTCAAATATCAGTCAATGGGTACAGATTAAATATTGTTTAACTAACCATAATATAGGTAATAGCTTATTTAAATCATATCATTCATAAAAAAAACTGAATAATGGACCGATTTCCCCCATTCACCAAGTTTTCGTTTAAAATTTGTATTATCTTATTAAAGAAATGTTTGTATATTCAGTATTATCCAGTGTAAAGTGTTTTGATATTAGAATTGAATAATAAAAATGTATTATTTGTGAAGTGATATAGTGATAATATAGGTATTGAGATGATAGTTCATAAACTATGTGCTTGACTAATATTTCTCTATCAACATTACCTTAGCTTGTTTAGTCCGAAATCAGAATTTTGTCAGCACCAAATATCATGGATTATATCTATTCTTCAGCACAAAAATTTGTGGATATTTGCCAAAGTTGGATTTGGTAATATATCAAAATTCTTGAATTTTTCGTCTAATCTTTCTTGTGTTAGTTGGTATGACTATTACTTTTTAAATCTCTCCAAATGTAAAAGTTCCTCAATTTGAGAAAATACTCCTAATTCTGCATCCAAATACTTCCACTAAAAAAACTGATAAAACTTTAAATAAGGATCAGTATTTCGGTTTAATCATTCTTATTCTTAAAACCATGCTCTCTTTTCAAAAATAGATGAGCCCCTGGTTCACTTTAACAAAGTAGCTTCGAGGTGTTGTCAATGATGGTATTATATGTATGTTTCGGACTTATAAAATATATGAATGAAAGTATAAGTTGGTTACCATCAATTGAAAATAGGAAATCATCATGAACTATAAACTAAATTATTTCTCATAAAACTTCCTTTCAACTGGTATAAACTACCGTAAAGATTCACTCAACCACTTAGTTTTATCTCAGTTACAAATTAATTTCAAGTTTTAGTACCTGTACAGTCTATCAAGCTATTACCTTGAAGGGATGCTGTCATCTAATTTTCTCTTTACCAGCTGAGAGAGAGTAATTTCTAGTTATCAGGGTGCTATTTGATTTTTAAATAACGGAATCTTAAAGTCAGTTTTCTGCATGGGAGACTGATCAATTAATTAAACCCCTTTAAAATCTTGTGTTTTTTGATCAATAAACTTGTTATATTTCTTAAAATCTTGATTTGATCTAAGTCAAAATTCTGTAAAACATGCCTGTAAATTTAGGCTTTCGTTACTTCTGTTGGTTCGAGCTGTACCTTGTCATTATATTGTTAGTGAACTTGTTGTCTCCTTTCATTCTGAAAAGTGAAAAGATAAGCTTGGTGAAATTGAGTTCTCTAAGCTAGTCAAACAAATATTGATGACTGTATCACTTTAACTTCCCAATTTCTTGCTTGTATACCAACTACAAAGTGAAGAAATATAGGTGTAAGGAATTCTTATAGAATGATGGTGATGAATAAACGCATGCCTTGTGACCGTTGAGGTCCATAAAATTTAATCTTGTGGTTTCGTGCCTGAATTCACAAAATCACTGAATCTTTTAAAAAAAATTCATTGATTATTCTTGATATTTATTATTGAAAAAATGAATAAATGAATTTGTCTTATTATGAAGAGAAGTGGAGTGGAGAAATACTGATGGCAATAAGTTCTATTCTAAATTTCAGTCAGACGTTTTATTAGTAGCTTTTTGCATTTGTGACATCATCATAACACTTAGTTTTAGTGGAATATCTAGAACCACAGACGTCTAAATCAAAATTGAAATGGCGCAATATTTTATTGTGTTTTCACTGACCTGGCAAAATTTCTCTCATTGCACACTGCATGGCGTTGCCTGTTTTTTTTGCCTGTTAGGTCTGGAAAGTAGGACGTAAAATTCCATTCATTTCATTTTTTTTCTGATTTCAGGGTACCTCAGTAGATATAAATTTTATAACTAATTTTTTAAAAAATGTGGACCTACCCCGTGGGCCCATTGGTCCCCCAGGGGCTGAGGGTCAGAAAGGTGAACCTGGTATTACAGGGTTGAGAGGTCTTCCAGGATTCCAGGTATCTAGTCTTTCATCTTTTCTCTTTCAGAGAGTCAACGTAGTTAATATCACCAAACTGGCCTTAAACTTTGTTTATTTATCATCACATTTTGAGAGTCCACATAGTTTTGAACATAAATAGTTCTAGTGAGTCATGGGTTTTTCCCTGGGCTATCAAAAGATTAAGAGTGAGCCTTTTGTTCTTAAAAATACCTAGAGAATACTATTTGTAGGTTTCCAAATTATTTTAACATCAGTCCAGTCATATTCTGTACAGGGAAAACAACGCTAGGGTACATATACTCAAATGTCTTTTAAAATCTTTAAAGTGGAAATTTTCAAAAATATCATGGAACATTTTATATTTCGCGAAACTTACCCATACTTACATATTGCGATGGTATTTTACAGGGAGTGTCTGGAGAACGTGGGTACCCAGGGTTTCCGGTGTGTTTCTATTTTTAACCCCTCTCTTTCCCTTCCCTCGTTTGTTTTTGATCATGATGATTTGTATTTTATATTGTTTTGGATGATTTGTTTGTTTTTAAGCATCCTCTATTCAGATCATGTTTTATTTATATTCATGATTATTGTGAGTTTTTGTTAAATTCTTTCCAAATAAGGAAATGTCAAGCAGAATTCTATATTTTTAAACAGTGAAAAGACAAGGTCCATATTGACTTCTGAACTTGGCAAGTAGAAGTCAGCACACTGTAAATGTTTTTACTAAATTTATGTCCAGGCTATAACCATTCGCATTTTTTCTGGTTAGTGTCTAGATGTTCTATAATTATCTACCCATGATTCAAGGCAAAAAAAGAAATACATAGAATATAGAACATAGAACATAGAATTGGTATCCAAAAATGTAGAATTTGTCTTGGCATTATCCTTACTAATCCCCACCTTTAGTTGAGTAAGGAAATTTATGTGCATCCAGGTTCTAATCAAAAACATAAACATGATCAGTCTATTTTTTTTTAGGTAGAACATATAGTAATTGAAAGTATATAAGCCACACTTATTGTGTTTTTACTACTTTAACTACCTAAAGATTAAGTGGACTGGTCATGTTTATGTTTGAATCAATCCTGGATTTACATACATAACTTGGCCCACTTAACCACAAGTCCATTCCTTTTTTGTTTATTGAATCACGTTTTGATTTGTATGCTGATTGATTATTCTGATTGATTTTTTTCAGCACTGAGTTTGTGTGATGTCATGTTTTAAAAATGGCAACTGTATTTTATCACTGTTTGATTTTGATATGTTTGGAAGCACTTGTTTTACAATGTTGAATTTTTAATCATCTGTTGCATGTTGCAAGATATTACGGCACTTGTTCAATGGCGCCGTTATACTTGCACAACTCTCTTTGAATTTTTGATTATCCATTGCATGTCGCAGGAGATAACGACAACGGCTCAATGGCGCCGTGACAATTCTACAATTGTCTTTTAATCAAAGAAATTTCCAAGAAAATTAAACATTTATAGCCAAACTTTTTTTTCTAGTCGTCTCATTTGGAGAAGTGAGTATGATTCAACAATGCCCAACACAAATTGCTAAATGTTGTTGTGACAAACACATTATTATTTTATCGGACAATTTTAAATTTCATGCACAGTTTTAATTTCTTATGATTTGCTTTTTCTTTTTAAAGCTTTTATTTCTTCAACTTCTTCTGGATTTTTTTTGTGATACTTTTTTCACTAATTTTTTATTAATATGTTCTGCTATAGTTTTTCTGTTATTTCTTTGCATTTATATTGTTTTTTCTGTTTGAAAAACTGTACTGAAATTAAGTTGAAAATTTGATCATTCAGATACCAGAAAAGTTATCATTTGCTATCAATTTTTACAATGACCTGAGATTTTTGATATTTATAAATTATTTTCAAGTGTTGTGGAATTTGATTACCAGTAGTTGCTATTAGCTTGTATATTTCCTTTGGTTTATTTGCAACAGTATTAGAAGAACATGAATTAAGTCTGAAATGTAATATACAGATATTTGAAACTCAGTTATTATTGAATTACAAAAACAGTTTTAATAACATGTTAGATTTACCTTGATCTGTTATATACACTCATATTAGCAATATTCACTTGTTATTTTTCACTCAAAAATTATTTTCTTTGCACATAAACCATACGTTTTCAAAACAAAATTAGAGAAAAAAGTAAAAGAAAATATAACGTCCATGTTTATATGTAATAGTGCACCTGATATATGGCTGATGTGTTTAAAACTGAATGAAAATTACTCATTATGAAATGTCGAGGGTAGCAAGCACCTGTTAAATGAAACTTTATAACGTTTTGACTTTTGATAAATCTGCTACACTCAATGACATTATTTTAACGGAGATTTTTTATTTCATATTTTTGACGTATAATAATGTATTTTCTGTCAAATTAAACTCAAATTTATGCTAACTGTTACAAATTGATGCAAATTTAAGCTTACGGTCATCATGACAAAACCAGTGCTGTAGAACATGGTATAGTAGACCTTCTCTCAAGTTGAAATTGAGATCAAATTTCACAGGTTGTTGAAAAATGTCCGACTGACAAAAAAATAAAACAACCGCAATAACTTTAAGCTCAATATTGCGTGTTTAACCTTGTTGTTGCAAATTTAAGCTTACTGTGACAAGTAGAACAATGGGAAATTAAAATTTTAAGATTTTCTTTCAAGGTTTTAACGAATCAAAATCCACAGGCATTTGATTGAATTTTCCCATTTTCCTCGCTCATTTCAAAATCTGTTTCAGTAGATTTCCACCAAGTACATTGCATGCTTGTCCGCTTTTATTAGATGCTTATTGAATGTTATTTTTTTGGCTTCAGGGTCCGATTGGTCCACCGGGTAAAAGTGGCTTGCCTGTGAGTTATAGATTTATTTAGTTATTTTTCACGCAGACTAACTTTAAAACTTCAATGTTAGGGGTCAATTTCTCAGAAACTTAAGTTTTCTGATCACCTGATTGGTCAAGTACTAAAATTTTTGTCCAATCAGATAGATGTAATTTGTGAATTTGACCCCTGTGCTTATATTTTATGTTGCGTTATTTTGCATGTGAACACCTCAGCAGCTATCAAATAGCACCACACACACTGCATGCTATGTAGGAGTTTCACATTTTGCACATCCACAGATATTTCCTAGCATAGCCTGGGAAAAGTACACTTTATTTTGGGGTAAAATTGTAGAGTCAATTACTTCTTGTTCTACCCCATCAACATAGTGAACTCTTCTGATGTATGTATGAAAGTGTTTCTGGATGTGCTTAAATAACTGTGACCTACTTACATCACTGAATGTATTTGTAATGATAATGATTTAACACCTGGTATATTTATTTTCTTTCCAGGGGTCACCAGGTTTAAAAGGAGAAAGAGGAGAAAAGGTCTGTGTTGTGTTTTTTTCAAATAATTCACCGTTTAAGCTATTCATAGGGTTGAACTGCATTTTCTTGGTCAAATTTGACACTTTCCAGGAGATTGAATGTTTCATGGATACTTTTAAGCTGGACTTGTATACACAAAAATATATTTCTTAGTTGGCTCAGATACACCTTCAGACTTTTGACCCCAGTATTACCCTGTCAGTGATACAGGTTGGGAGTAGCTGACAGAAAAAGCGGAAAGTTGTTAGAAAAGACAATATACTTAGGCCCAATGTGCTTCAGGTTTTGCAGTGATGCTTTAAACAGATGAAATAAAAAACTAGAATAAACTAAATGTTATATTATAGGGTGAACAAGGAACAAAAGGAGACAAAGGAGCAGTTGGATTACCAGGATTTGATGGCATCAGAGGAGATAAGGTACAGACAAATTTAGATCATCATTTTTCTTTTGATTGGCAAAGGGACATTATTCAAATGTCCATTAAATTTTGTAAACAGTAGGCCTACATATTATATACCTATAGAAAACAGTAAGATAAAAATTGTGTTCATACTTAATACGTAATCACAATAAATATTTTCCATTGCTTCTATTTAAATTTTCTCCTTAAAGGGACAGGTGCGCCATTCTTTTTGATCAATCATGCTCTAGTCTAAGAAACGTCATATTAAGATATTCTGTGAATATAGCATAATAGAATATAGAAAAAGTAAGCAAAATTCCTAGTTTGAGATACTTTTGAAGGAATTATTGATTTTGGTACATTTCTAGTAATTCTGAAGACTATTTACATATTTTCAACACTCAAATCAACTCCCCAAAATGGCACACAATACTGATATTCTGTGAAATAGATGAAATGATTTCAATATTCCAACAAAATGATTTATTTTTCCTTTTTAGTCACATTATTTATTTCAGATCTTTGTTTATAAAATGAACAATTTACTAATATCTATCCTTATCATTGCAGGGTATTAAAAGATCAATTAAATTAGGTGGTCAAAGTAGTTTTAGAGAAATTGTTTCTTTAAAGGTAGCAAATTATCTCCCTTGACACAATATTACCTCCCTTTAATCACAATTGTAACTTACTATATTAGTATGATATACATTTTTGTGGTAGAGATTCTAGCGAAATCCCTAAAGGATATTCAAACAAATAATCTTGAAATTGAGCTCCATCCAAATTAGTAGAGTGCAGGGTTTCTTGAAATACTGAATATGCAATTGTTTGCTTGGGGTTGTCATTTTGTTTTCCCAAAATTGAGCTCAATTAAAATAACAACTGTGTATTGCCATTGTTGGCTTCCCATATCAATACTTCCACTAGCTACTAAGTAATTCATGCATTTCTCTGAAACAATTTTGATATCCATTAATGAGAAATAACTAATATTTTTGTTTTGTTTTGAATAGGGAACGTCTTATGAAGTTATTACAATTAAGGTTTGTTTTTCAGCATTAGCATGGCATGTTTTTATTTTTGATATGATCGCCTATGTTTTGTTATTTTTGTAACAGGGATTGAGTTTTGTGTTGAATTCTATGTGTGTCTTTTAAGAGATGAAAGGATTTCTACCTTTTAGAATGAATTATTTTGGAGTGCTTAAAATTTTAAATACTTAACTTGGTTTTATAGATTTATTAGATAATACAGGGATTTTGTTGTATAATTATGACACCACTGATGAATATATTATACTTGTATTGACCAAATTTTGAAAATTTGAATATTATGCTCATTCTAAGAGGTAGAATTCCTTTAATAATGTGTTGTTGCTTTCATATTGCACCATGCTATTTTGAATGTTTGCTAGCTCTGTTGAAATTGCATGAACACCTAAAGTAATTGGTATCTAATGGTATTGAATGTTGGTTTTTAGTGTTTTGTGTTATTATTTAAGTTGCTAGTATGCTTTTATTTTAAAATTATTAATTTTGCATCCTGGCTGTTGCTGCATTTTTATTTCAGATGGTTTTTTGGTTACGTATTTTTATTGTTCATTTTATAACACAAGTATATTATTTTTGCATTTCACTATATTCACAATGTCAAGCTTCTAATACCTTGACATCATGAACTACCTTTCTTGTACCACAGAATTTGATAAATTCAGCGATTTGTACGCTAGGGAATACAGTCTATCAGAGCCCTCGAATGAAAACGTGTAAACAATAAGCCATTATGTATACAGAATTTTTGTCGATGGCTCTAATTAGCTGTATTTACTGGCATATAATCCAATAGAATTGGTCCGTTCCTTGACACAAGAAAAGTGACTAATGATGTCAAGGTATAAGACACTGTTCAGAATAGCTTGACATTGTGAGGATGTATTTGTCCATGCATGTCAATAATTTTACCATATTTGGTCATGCATGTCAATGTTTTGCACCATATTTGGTCATGCATGTCAATGTTTGTTTATATTTTGCATGTGCATGTAGGGTGATATCGGTCCACCTGGATTACCTGGTCCATTAAAACTAGAAGATTGGGAAACAAGGGTCATAGAGTTGAAGGTAGGGTGAAACTAACACGGAATTGGCAATCCTTGAACGATTTCAGCTCCCATCTGTTAGACCTTATTTTATCTACAGAAATGTAAATGATGGATCCTAAATAGTAACTTGGTGTAAAGATGTGTGGTTTGCATCCATTCCAAGAACTTTCATGGCTTGATTTGGTTAATTGCAATCTTATTTGTCAGCCTGTAAATACAAGATTGTTAAGAACATTTGACCAGTGGATTAATTTTAATATGGGTTCTTGTTGTAGGGTGAACCAGGTGAAGGTGGCCCACCAGGTCCACCAGGTGAATTAGGACCATCAGGATTACCAGGATTTGATGGGGTACCTGGACCTCCAGGTGATGTGGTAAGTCCGAATGATTTATTATCCCTATCTGAATAATTTCAATCGTTTTGTTGTATGAAAATGAAATATAGTATTTATGAGTGTAATGGAGTGAAGAAGACAGACAATGTGAGGCCACAGGCATTTGTATTTCTTTCCTCTTTCTGTGCTCTTTTTAGATCTGAAAATTTATTAAATCATAATACTGAAGATCAGGTAGATCAAACATTGCAATTATATCATGGATCCTCAGAAAAAGAGAATTTTATATTGTTATATCTTTCATTTCAGGGACCTTCAGGACCAATTGGACCACCTGTAAGTAAATTTACCAGACTTTTTTAGGACGATAATGTTGGTTAATTAAGGCTGTTTATCTACTGCATCATTTGATGCCTCTTTACAACTGGGTTTGTCACGTGGCATCTTTTTCAAAGGTCCACAGCCCTACAAGTTCCTCGGTTGTGACATACCGATGTGATTTCCTCATGATTAGGGAAAAACACACATATATCACTTTTTGGGATTTGATTTGTTGATCCTGATCCATTTTTGGATTACTAGTTTTTGAGAAAGCTGCCATGACAACCTAATTTGGCACGTGTCAGAAAATGTTGTGCTACAGTCTACAGTCCACATAAGTAATAATGTATATTGGTATATTTAATATACCGGTACACAGTATACTCTGCATAATCTGACATACACTCGGATTGCAAAACAATGTCGGATTAGAGTGTCACTTTTTTAACATGTGGCATGTGTTACTATTTATATATTTGTATTAGCAAATAATCTGTTATTTTTCATCACAGGGTCCAGCAGGGAAGGATGGTTTACCTGGAGAGCCAGTAAGTATTAATTCTCCTTCATCTTTATTACCATGTTATTGAAGGACAATTTCACAAAAACGGAAATAGCAACATTGTTGTAATGTAATGTAGTGCACAACATACACAATTATCAAAAATAGTAATAGTAATGTCATGTAAGCACAGACAGGGGTATGAAAATAACCTTGGCTCTGTTCATTTGATTGGCCAAGCACTGAAATTGAGTTGTAATTTTATATTATCAACCAATTAGAATTTGAATTTTATTTAGTTTTTGTGAAATATGGCCTTGCTCTTTAAAGTAAAGATTAGAAGATTTTCCTTTACTGCCATGACTGGAAGATTTTCCTTTCTTCATTGAGCACAAATATTGTTTATATTTAAAATTCTCGCCATTTTTTCTCTATCTCTCAGCCATTTACAAATGCATAATGAAGTAGATTATAAGGATCTCGTAGCAAAAGTAGATTTTCTTCAAGAACAATTTGCTACATTGGCAGTTCTTTTAGCAATTGCAGGAATTATTTGCATAAGGAACTATTTCAGGGATTCTGGGGTCTTTAAATGATAATTGTTTGCCCTGTTGTCTTGTCGCATTTTAGCCATGAATTATTTCTTCAAAAATTTCTAGATTTAATGATGAATGAACATAAAAGAAATGTTTTTGATAAATTTATACCATTTATTTAGCTTATCTATTTCTTGTACATTGATATGGATACAAGATAAACTCTCTTGGTCCATGAGGATATATTAAATATACTCTTGCCAAACTTTTGGGAAAATAAAAATCAAGCTCAGTACCATTCTAGTTCTCTGGATTTTAGAAATCCAGTTATTCAGAGAATTCAGAAATGATTGTGCCCGCTTTTTCTTTGATTTCTGGAAAAAATTAGAAAAATTTTACAAATATGGAATAAAGATTGGCATTTCTTCATTTTCTATAAATCTTAAACTTCTTGTTAGAAATGATTCATGATTATAATTAATGTAGCTGTATTATCAATATGACCATGTTATAAAAATAGTGAACAATGTATAATTTGACAGTCTCTGCTTTTAGTTTTCACTGCTTACAGTTATAACAGTAATGTTAGACTTGGTTAGATAGTGAACTAACATGTACAGTCTTATAACTATCATCTATCCCATAATTATAATGTATATGTAACACTGTGAAATCATTAGATTTCATGAACATCAAACTTTTTTGTGGAGTTTGCGTTTTTGTTTGGGCTCCAAGCTCTTTTAATTTGTATTCATGAGAACTTTACTTGGCGGATTGATACTTTTTCAAAATGTTATCATATACTTTTAATTACCATCAAAGTTTTTGTGGATTTATCCTCAGAGTGATGTACCTGTATAATACTTTTCCAGTTTTACAATTTGACCCTTTGACCCATGGTCTCCAAATTTTGTGGATTTGTCTTCAGAAACATATTCTTTGGCTTATATCTATGTTCAAAAGTGTGTTTGTATACTTTTTCGGGGATTTTCCTTTTACGTTATGTGTATAATTTTGAACTGTTCCACTCTTTAACAATTGATCCTACATGAATAATGATGATTTCACAGTGTATATGTCAGGGTTGGTTTTCCCAAAAAATCTTAAGGTAAGGATTTGTCTTAAAGGGATTGTAAAGAGGTTTTATAAGTTATTATGTGTATCAACGACACTGATAGCATCAATTTCCACCATTCTAATTTTCAATCAGAATTCTGTGGTTCCTGCAGTTCCACTAGAACCAAGTATTTGATGACATCACTTATAACAGAGGGTCTTGTGTGATTCAAGCATATTTTGCAATTAGTGATGTCAGCAAACATATATTTTGTGAAATTGCAGGAACCACATACGTCTGACTGAAAATTGAAATAGTGCAAATTGTTGCCATTAGTTTCGCATATACACATATACAATTTAGTAAACCTCTTTACAATGTGGAATTTTACAGTGTGATATACCATCGCGACAAAACTGATCTTAAGATTTTTGTGAAAGGGGGCCCTGATGTCTGAAAACATAATATATGATACAATATGTACATGTCAGTACACTATAGAACTCCACTCATTCTGTTTCTTTGATACATCTAGTATTATTATGGATATATTGGATATATCTTGTACACTGGAAATAGTTTGTGTAGGAAAAATTAGGACTAAAAATGATTATAAACTCAATATTTTGTCATAGCCTATAATGTTCACACCCAGTTTGGCAATCCCTTTTCATGATAAATACTGCACTATACACAAAAATATACAGAAACTTTTTACTTCAAACCTTGGCTCAAGTTTTGGTTAGCCTTGATCTTGCAAGCCAAATGGTTGATCCACATGACACATTTTTCTTCAGATTTTATTTATAAGTCATATTCATCAACCATTTGGCTTGCAAGATCAAGGTTTACCACAACATGAGCCAACGTTTGAAGTATGCATATCGATACTTTGCTTCATGGATTAAAAATTTAATTGAAAAAGGATACAAGTTTCATTTAAACTTTGTCTCTTTTACCAGTATATCCAAGTAGTCCACTGTCTAATCAAACAATCAAACTTCTGTTTCTTTTATCTGTTATCTTCTGTCTTATATTCTGTTCTGTATATTTTGAAATGTGAAAAAATATTGGTAAAAAATCTCATATTTGGTCTGTCTCTGTATACTTTATGAATGGCCCAATTGCATGTTCCTGCTCTTTCAATAATGAATTTTCTAGCATAACAATAACACTTGGCTTTGAATGAGCACAAACTACCGGTGGCTGCATGTTGGCTGATTTTCAGGTAAGGTAACAGTAGCACGCTAGTAGATCTATATGCTTGTGTTACAGGGTCAAAAAGGTGAAAGGGGGGGCCGTGGGGTTGGGTATGACCCTGACGGAAATTTTCCAGCTGGATTCATCCAGGGCCCTCCAGGTCCACCGGGCTTGCCTGGAAAAAAGGTAATGTATGGTAAAAGATGAAGGTGCTTTGTTTTCAAACTCGACATCTTGTTTGATGTATATATGAATATGTTGATGGATGCTATTATATCTTCATCAGCATGCCTTCTACTAACATAGACATTTCATATATTGTTATCATTTATTTTATATTATATAGAAACCAGTGTTTCTGTTTGAAACAGTGATTTCTTTAATGCCTTTTTTTCAGATTTTTATTTTTTGCTTTAAGGTTACCTTTTGCTGCAGTCACCTAGATTTCTGATTTTGGACATTTTCATCATTTTTACTCAATATTTCAGACATATTATTTTTTTATAATAATGATAAAATTTGGGGAACTAAATTTTCCAAAAAACAAAAAAAACTGCAACAAAAGGTGCTTTTAATATTGTAAAGTGACTGCAGCAAATGTTAAATTATGCCCAACGTGTTTCAAAACATTAAAATTGGCGTTGTTCTATTAGAATTGTGGGTCTGGTAAACGGCGCCGAACATGCCGCATGGAAGTACGAAACATTGGTTCCGTTAAGAAGAAGAATAAGAGAAAGAACCGTAGGAGTCGCATGCCACGTAACCTCGAAGAGCTGATCAAGGGTTCCAAGATGGAGGTATTCCTAACCCCTAGCTCTGTAGAAACAGTCTCTCTTCTATTTTAACATTTGCTGATCAAGTCACTTTGTAGTATTTTCTGGTGGTGGGATCTTCCGATATTCAGACTTTTTGGAAGGATTTGAATTAAGATTACCATGTAGATTCTGGTCAGAAAGCATTTAAAATCTTTATATGGCGTTATTTGCAAGATAAAGTTGAACAAATGGTGATCAAGGGTTCCAATCTCAGTCGGCATATGAAAATCCTCTGACTTTGAATAAGTCATCTTTCCCCATTATTCAACTCAACCCAGCTGTAAATGGGAATAAATAATCTGAGAAAGATGAAGAGGATTGGTCAAGGACCAGCTGGTAGACCAGATCATTGTGAACCCAAGGTCTCATCCTACAAAAAATCAACATCATTAGATTCGAATTTAATGTAATGCGAATAAACAAGCCAGATTTTGAGATGAATACACTTGCAATCTTTTCCTGAAAAGTCTGAATATTTTGAATCTAAATTTTTATTAAAACATTTTAATTGTAAAATCATTATCTTTATTAGTCTGAATCTGAAATATTTATTGAGAATTAAGCAACGTCTATCACAATTTTTGTAAGAACAAATAAATTTTAAAACATTAATTTAAGACTAATATTGGTAATATTGATGCTTTTAAAAACTGCCAAATTCCATGAAATCAAATGATAATTGTATTGAGCATAAAATGGAACTTTTTGGAGATTTTGCCAGGACATAAGCATTATCCTAATCTTTCCCAATTTCCAACTGACAAAGAATCTACGATTAGAAGAGAATGCAAGATGAAAATGAAGTTCTCGGCTGAGGTCACAAGTCAATCGCAATCTGAAAGGAGAGATGATATGGAATAAGTAAGGAATTAGAAGACAGAGTAAATTATAATGTAAAACTAAGAATGGTGTTTATGGAATTTGGCAGTTAGATTGCAAAGAATAGCTTGTTTAAGAAAATTATTTGGAAAAGAAAATGAAAAAGCGAAATAAAAGTTAGTATGAAATTTAAAGAATACATTAAAAAGTTTGCTTAACAGGCTATCTGGGCAATAATTCAGGGAAACATCTGGCTTATAGTTAAATGTCACAGCAAGTTAATAGAAGATAGTTAATTTTGTTCATAGAATATAGTATTATACTGTCTTCATCAATATTTGAATTTTTCATTAAATTAGTTTATAACTGGTGTTTAAAATTTGATATTTATTTAGGTAAAGCCAGGTGTAGCCCTTCTTCAGTATATTATTTCTTTTTTCTCAATATATAAGTCAGCTTTACGTTATATCAGCAGTCTTTTAAACTTTTGACTTTCGATAATTTCTTCGCTAAATTAAAAAAAAAAGTAACCGACATTTTTCGTCAAAACATTTCAAATTTAACTGTCTAATGTAGCCTAATTTAAGTTTTAATGAACTTTCTGCGATCTTCAAACTTTGACTAAGTAAAGCTTATTAAATAAAACTTTAATTGTATATTATCTGATAAACCAAATCAAAGGGATACAATCATCTAAAAATTAAGGGTTGGTAAAACAAATATCACATGTCACAAATCTGTTTTCACATAAGATAGACTATTGTAAATGATTAATGCTTCAACTATCAATTTTGATTTTCATTCTAATATTCTGTTCTGTCAGATTTTAAAGTGAATAGTTACAGGACTGTATCCCTTTAATCTAAGAAATTCTAAGCAGCAGGACACAATGCCTTTAAAAATCAAGCATAATTCTTACTATAGTTGCTTTGATTTACGATTTCACTGCAAAATTTTTCTTAAATTTACTAACAAGTTTTCTTTCGGTGGTGGGATATATTGAAATTTTGTCAATCATAATTTTTGAAAAATAAAAATTGAAAGTTTAAAATGAAAAATCATATAAAATTAAATTTATTGTTTTGAATATTGAAGATGCATTATTTTGTGGTATATTGGCAGCCAAGTATGTTATTTTTGTTATTTTGTTATACTTAGTATAAACCTGTAAGTTATTGTTAAATTTTGTTATAATATTTGTTATTATTAGTTAGTGAACATTGCACCTTATTGTTATTATATGTTATGATTTGTTATTGTAAAATGCACCATATTTTGTTAATATATATTTGAAAGCATTGTATTTAGTTGTGATTGATTGAAATACAGCTCTAGATATTTTGTTTATTTTATATTTTGTGGGTAAAGTCACTCATTCTAGAGCCGTGTTTTAATTAATGAAATACATCTCTAGAAATTTTATATTCTGTGGGTTAATTGCCTCATTCTAGAGCTGTGTTTTATTTAGATTGTTTATTCATAAATGTATTGTAAATTCACATTGCACACAAAATTGCACAAATTGTTTAAATTTCAGAGCATTGCTTGGTGAAATTGGAGGGCCCTGGACCAAAAATTATTCTGTGTATGGGTCTTTTTTTTCTATCATCTGTACCACTCTAGTAGATTTTGGTGATGGGTTTTATATGTTTGATATTTTATAAATGATATACCAGAAATTTTCAAGTATGAAATATTTCCAGGACCCTCCTATGTTTTAAGAAGGGGGCCCTGAATAATTTTGAGCTCTAATTAGTGTAATGTAAATGATAAATGTTGTACAAAGTTAATGTTTATTAATGAAATTATTTTTTATCATTAATTTTCTTCAGTTTGGATTTTGTAATCAGTTATAGGCATTCATAATTCATGCATTTTTTCTTTATTTTGTTTTTTAGCATTATGTTTTTAGCATGTTTTATTTTTTTCTTTCTTTTATCTTCTGCCGTCTATAGGGTGATATTGGTTTACCAGGCATAGCTGGGCCCAAGGGCGAATCTGGGGACAAGGGCAAAAGGGGAAAACGGGTAAATACACAATCAGTTTGCATGCGATTTTAAAATAAGTTAGTAATTCCATTCCAAAAAAAAAGCAATGCATGATTCAAAATATGTTAGGTTTAGATTTATTTCCTATCACCATTAGATTGTTTTTAGACCATTATACCTGCATCTAATGTCATTTCCTCATCAAATATTCCTTCCATTTACCATATGAATGTGATAATGTTATATTATGTTCATACAATCCATTATCCATTAATTAGCTATGGGCTATTTGCCAAGTTCTTTAGGTCGCTTTATGCATGATAGAAGTCCATGTTTCTTATTCAGAATTTATTTTGTTCAATTTCAAATTTACAACTACTACTAATATTCCTGAATATTCCATGAAATTTCCCTCAGTATATAGTTGTAAACATCAGTTCATTTGGAAAACCTGCATGCATTTTTTGTGATTATTTTTTTAAGATTTCAATGGTATTCCACAAATCATAAAAAAAATTTAAGAAAGATAATTTAATTTTTTGAAATTTCTTATCAAATAATTTTAAGATTGCTTTAATTTTTCAAAATGCATATTGATTTTATAAGTTTAATGAAGAAATATGTGCAAGATTTAAGAGCATGTGTTCCATTCTGTCATTTAAATATTAGGGGCGTAGAGGTCATAAAGGTGAACACGGTCCCGAGGGTCGCGTAGGGTTCCCTGGACCCCAAGGTCCACCTGGAGAGAAGGGAGATAATGGAGGAAAAGGCAGTATTGGGTTACCAGGACAACAGGTTAGTTTGAATTTGAAATGATGTATGCAGAATGATTATTTGAAGCAAGATGGCATCTGTTCTTTATGGAGAAATAGTTCTTGATGTGGACATATGTAACCATGTAACCTGGATTTTTAAGTGACTTCGTCAATGAAATAGATGTCCAGCAGATAGTCATGGATTAACATCTGATTGGTTGATATATGAAAATGAGAAAAATTTACAAATTAAACAGTAAAAAACGATCAGTTAATATTGGTATTGATGTATATTTACTGTATTTAGGGTATTCAAGGTTATACGGGTAGAAATGGTATGGATGGTAGACCAGGAGAACCAGGCCCTCAGGTAATCACTCTTGCTTATCTCCCTTGCTAACCTGGAATGGCACTGATTGCTGAGTTCTGCTCATTCTGGATACAAAGAATCAACAGGACATGCATTAAAACAAGTTGAAACAGAGTTCAGAATGTGTTCTACTTGTGTCAAAAAACAAGGAGTAGAAAGAATTTGATATGGTAATAAAAGGAATAGAAGGGTATATGTTGAATGTAACCAGTTTGATTTCCACCTGAAATTGGAACAGAGAGAACCTGTTCAGAACTCACTTATCAAGTGTCAGTTCACAGTGTCAAATGAGCTATTGATGGTTGATATGCAAAATATGAGTAACATAATGCAGAAAAGTTTAAAACTTCAAAATGTGTTTCCATTTCTTGAGGCTGGATTTCGGTGACCTTGACCAGTGCTTATGTTCTCAACACCATCTAAAACTGCCTGAGCATCATACTATATTGATGTTTTTCTTTGTCTATTTCAGCTAGCAATATAAAGGTTAAGCCCTGAAAAATTCACCTAAATATTCCTTTTAAATTCAAGTTTCTTTTGCATTTTAATTTTTCTCTATATTTTATTGCTTCAGATTGTTTTTATTTTATTTTTTTTTTTTAAGATTGGCATGTTTTGGTATTTTATTATTATTATAATCCTTGCATTTTTTAAATTACTTAAATTGTATCAAATTTTGTTTGATATTTAAAGTTTGAAAATATATTTTGTAGGGAGACAAAGGTGAAAAGGGCAATAATGGGGATTCTGGTCCCCCAGGGTTATCTGGTATGATTGGTCCCCCTGGATTACCAGGCCCACCGGTGAGTGTTTCACATTGAAATTCTTTTTCAATGTTTGGTATGTTTCATCTAAAAAAAATGGTGGACTCAAAGCTTGTTTGGTGTGTGACCCAACTGTAAATAATATTGTAAATATTTCTGTTAATACGAGAACCAAAATTTTTGTCCAGGAACCAGCAAGTAGATAAGAATCTTAAGAGCATCAAGAAGTGAACTATAATTGTCTTATTATATATTGCAGGGTGAACCAGGATCGTCTCTAGATGGTATTGTTGGCAGTGGTGAAGGGGTGAGTTCTCATTAGATTCTGGGCTCAATTTTTTCTAATGAATTTCAAAATCCCATTGTTATTTACTAAAGAAATACACAACAAGATGTTTTTGGTGGCTCAGTGAGTGAGACACTTGCTCACTAACCTTGGGGACTAGTTGGAAATTCACAAAGAGTAGGCAAATGAGGCTGCCCTGGCAAATTAAAATTACACACCATATAGCATTGCCTAATCAAGTGAAGAAAAGTAGGGCGTAAAACTCCATTCATTTCATTTCATTTCATTTCTGCTTTCAGTTACCAGGACCACCAGGGCCTCCTGGACCAATGGTAAGTTTAATTACTCTGGTCTTTAATAAAGTAAAAAACTTCAGACTTTATTTTTTTCAAAATTTTGTGATGTTCAAAATCAAGATTACAATTAATTGTTTCAGAAGGATTGATAATTTACATTCATTTCAATTGATTTATATTCATACTTAAACCTAAAGTCTTTAATTGTGACCTAGGCCAGTGCTTCTATAGTAGAGTATCATCTATAACTATATATTAAATAAATAAGAAGACTATTATAGATATTCTACTCCTTTCTTTAATTTCTGCAACGTTTCAATTCACATACAGAAATCTTTATCAAGCACAATTATTATTTTGTGCTTGATAAAGATTCCTGTATGTGAATTGAAACACTCTAGAAACTAAAGCAAGGAGTATTATATCTATATATAGTGTTCTTATGTTTTTAATATAAATATTAATTGATGTATGAAATGAATGGTATTTAGGAGACACAGAGAGATAAAGATACATCATTAAAGAAAGGAGTAGTATATGAATAATCGTGTTCTTATTTATTTAATGTTCTATCTACTTCTAAATGTCATTTAAAGATTATATAACTATATTATTTATTATTATTATTTGTTTTGTTTTTTAGGGACCAATTGGTTTACAAGGCCCACCAGGTACAAAGGTATAGCTAATCAGTATCATGTCCTATTATCTTATGTTTTACATTGACTACTTTATACAAATACACCTAAGCCATATGTAATTATAAATATTGAAATAAAATTGAAATTGAAAAATGGAACGAATCAATTATTAATAAAAAATGTTATGTAGATTATTCCGTATAAAATACATCCCATAAAATTATATGATAGATAATGTATTGTTTATTATTAGGGTGATAGAGGATATCCAGGACCAAAAGGAGATCTCGTAAGTTTACATTTATTCTCATATTTTAGAAAACAGTTATGCCGTCAAGGGAGATAATTTTAAACAAAAATTCCAAATTATCAATAGTTTTCCTATTTTTATTGTAAATAATTTGTATAAAATAATAGAACATGCATATATGTAAAGATTTCAATAAGCTGTTAGCTTTTATTATGCATTTACTTCTAGGAAATCAGATCAAATGGACAGTGAAAGTGTGTCAAGGGAGGTAACTCCAGTTTATACTTGTTTGTTTGTTGATTGTAGGGACCTAAAGGACCAGCTGGTGAAAGAGGAATATTCGGCCTGCCAGTAAGTTGGAGACTGCATGCTGTATATATTTTGGTGTGGTCACATCTGCATGTTACACCAGTTTTAAGAAATCCAAGTTTAGAAATAAAATATTATTTATTTAAGAGTATAGGCTGGGCTTACTTTGTGACTTTCAAATTGGTTCTGATTGAAATGGAACACTGAATTATAGTATATCTGAGTTGAATATTAAATATTTAGTAATACAGTTTTATGTAGAAATTTTAGAACCATTTGAAAGTTAAAGCCTATGCCTAAAATATTGGCTTTGTCTCATGTTTAAAAATATTATGGGTCATTGGTTACACAATTTGGACTAGTTGTCTGAGCTTTCATAACTTCTAAAGGGTACAATGAAATTTTTCAAGAAATCTGATTAGTTGATATTTGGTTATAGTATTAATATCAACCAATCAGAAATCTGCAAATATTTAATATAAGTTATGACGATTTAGACAACAAGTGCCCAAATATACATAAAATATATTTTTGGTGTTGGTAGCATGGGTTAAGGATAGGGTATCACGATGTTGTCTTCACCAAATGTAGCACAAAACTAGCTCCAGATAGTGTGTGTGTGTGGGTTGCTGCACATTGCACCAATATAAAGTAGCACCTATTTCCCTGTCCACACAGCAATAGACACAGTATATGATATAAAACTCTTATAAACTTTAGTTCATGGTTAGATGATTTTAAAGTCACTCTCTTCATATTTTTAAGATTCTTCAATTTTCAGACTTGAATAGCCAAAACTCATATTTTGGGTTAATTGTCATTTAGAAATGTCTCTGTTTTATAGTATGTCAATCAAGTAATGAAAATCAAAAGCTGAAAAATTTTGATAAACATAACAAAAAAAACAACCAGTGAATTTGAAGCCCCAAAAGCTTTAGTTTTGGCATGAGTGCAGCTCAAAAACCTAACAATTTGCTTAGAACTGAAGTTTGAATAATAATGTAGAGGGTGACTTGATAATGAAATTGCTGTATTCACCTACTACTAGTGTGATTTTATCAATATTATCATCAACAATTGTTTGTAAGGCTGTTAGCACTGCTCTGCACTTGTTATATATGTAGGGTTCAATTGGTGTCCAAGGCCCTCCAGGTCTACAAGGGCCCCCAGGGGCAAAGGGGGACATTGGTGGCCCCGGCCCTGTGGTGAGTGTTGTCCTGATGTTAAGAATGTGCATGCTGAAGCCTCGCATGTTCTAGGGAAGCATGGCCTAATTCCCGGTTTGCATTGCCAAATTCTTCGTTCGAAGAAAACAATTTTTTTATTTGCTGAGTTATTTTTCTCAAATTTCCAAACTTTTGCAATGCATAGTTTTTTACTTTAAATCTGTCAATATTCGTTTTTTAAGAAGTTAAGCATGATAACTAATTTTTGTTTTTAGTTTTGCCCTACCCCCATTTTAAGTTTATTCTTATTTCGTTCTCTTTTTAGCTTCTCTTTTTCAGAATAATTTGATGTAGCCTTCTTTTAGTAGATTTTAATTTTTTTAATTTTTGAAGATTGTTTATAATTTGTTTATGAATTATTGCAATTAGGTTTAAAGGGATACAGTCAAATAATCAATTATGTTACAAGCTGATTGATTCTCAATTTCACTTCCCTTTATCTCCTTTCAAAACAAACATTGAGTTCATCTGCGATTGCATAAAAAAAAAGGGCTGAGATCACATTTTAATTTACTGTTTTAATGACATGTAGAACAAAGCCAAGATAAAGAAGCTTGCTCCTTCACATTTTAATTGTTCTCAATGTTGCATATCTATCAGCTGATAAAACCAATTAATTTAGACGACTGTATCACTTTAATGAATTTATTTTTTTATGCATGTTATAAAACAATTATTTTGTTTCATTTTTTATTCTGATGTTTTGATTTTTAATTTTTTTTTTTTTTAATTTTAAATTTCATGATTATCATTATTGTTTTAATTTCATCATTATAATTTAATCATAAAAAGATATCATACATTTTCGTATCCAAATATATTCAAAATATGCATCTTCAATATTTTAAGTATATGTATATTATCATTTTGATCTGAATATAGAAATATTAATATGAATATATTATGAATTGCTTAAGGTATGTCATGCATCATGTTCAGGGCTATAGTCCATGTATGTATGTGACTCACTACCACAAAATCAGTCAAAGGGCTCAGTGTGCTCTTATATTTTTGAAAACAGATTATGTGCTTACAAGACATTTAATAGTATACTTTGTGAGCCCTACATCTTTAAAATGGATATAATTTATATCCTGCAGCACACATCTTTGTCGAGCCAAGTGACTGGTTTTGAGGCAGAGAGCCACCTTTGATGGCAAAGGCTACTCATTGATTTTGAAACTCAACTAATTAATGGTGTGTATTTAATTCTATATGTCTAATTTAAAGGGTCCCCCAGGTCCAGCAGGTAAAGGCATGGCAGGAAATGGTACCTGTAATTGTGAGAAAGGGGACAGAGGAGAAAAAGGCTCATTAGTAAGTATCAGATTTCAAAACTGTAGATATATTTCTCCTATAATCAATACTCAATCTGTTTGATAGTCTGATGACCTTGAATAAGTCATCTTCACTCATCATTCCAGTCGACCCAGCTGTAAATGAGTACAGAATTAAAGATCAATGTCAAGAGGTTTGGCCTAGAACCAGCTGGTAGAAATGATCCTTCACTGTGAACCTAAGTTGTTATCCTTGTAAAATATAGTTGTTTCTTTTCTTTTCTTTTCTTTTTTACTTGTCAAATAAACTGAAGGCACATTAGCTTGAGTCTTCCAAAATACAAGAATAAAAATAGAGATCCTTTGGCATAGTCTTGTCTGAAGATGAAGAGATAAAGAGGCAATCCAAAAATGATCTAAAAATTGTCATATCAATTTGCAAATAGTTAGGCTTAAATCGGTTGAAATTTTGGATTTGTCTCCCTTCAATGAGCTGATAATAGATTTTCTTTTTGCATGAAACTATCTTACACCTTTGTTTATATAGGGTCAGAGGGGACGACGTGGTAAAAAAGGTCCAAAAGGAGCTAAAGGAGACCAGGTGTGTTAATCTTGCTGATTTATTTCAGAATTATTTCAACCAGTTTGTAATGTGTTCCAGCATGGTGATGATCCAGCATGGTGTTCAACCAAACTTCTTTAATTTTCAGACAATTCTAACGCGAGTGTTCACCAATTGTGCATACTAGGGCTGGGTATCGCTTACAAAATTGTGATTGATTATCGAAGGCAGACTACCGATCAATAATCGATTAACAATCGAAATAATTTAAAGGAGAAACCCTGTAAATACTTAATTAAAAAAAAAACAAAATTCTTAATTTCATGGGTTATTTTTGCGTTGTAGAAGTATATTATTGCTTTGATCGGTAATTATAGTTTATTGTGGATAAGTTATGTGCTGAAGGGAGAAAATGTAACTTTAGCATATAATTGATTATGAAATTTGATAATCGATAATCAAAATTATACATTCGTAACGACGCTAATCGATTATTTTGATCATTTTACCCAGCCCTAGTGCATACTCCAATGTGAGTCAACTGATTGTGTTAAACAACCCTGAATTTGCCACTCCCCCAGTCCAGAAACATGAAAAGAACAGAATCACTCCTTTTGTCCACAAAAAAAACCACACCCAAATTTTTTTTTTTTTAAATTTGACTATTTTGACTTGAAAATATAAGCTCTATGATGTTCCACCTCGCAATTCTTACATGTGATGAAAAAAGATTCTGCATCTTTGTGATTCTGTCTTCAAAAATTTCAAATATAATACTATTTCAGCCTATAATTCAGCCTAGCCCCTCCCTTAATAACCCCTTCTCCACCCCAGCCAGATTTTTGGTGTGCTGATATTAATGGCATGGTGCATGTTTTGTTTGTAGGGTCGAAGAGGTAGAAGGGGCAAGAGAGGTCCTAAGGGAGAAAAAGGAGATCAGGTGGGTTAACTTTCCTTGGATTAATATTCTAGAACTACAAAGGTAGTAAAACAAAATTAAATTTTGGGGGTTTTTTGCACAGTTTATTACCAGTAAATTACTGTCAAAATATTTCTGTTCTTTGTTTTTTGTCATATATCTCCATTTTGACGGCTATTGGAATTCTTGAATACATATTTGAAGTTGTCGGTCTCTGGTACTGTTAATTGCAATTCTAAAATACATATGTTTGGGGTTTTTTTGTTAGCTATCAAAGTTAGTAGAAAATTCTTGTTCTTTTGGTATTTTGACCAAAAAAGGGGGATTCCTGCCATTCTATCAAAAACGAACAGCAATATTGGGATTTGAAAAAGGGAGGTAATCATGTAGAGTATTGGCAAATAGCTTAACTACGTCTTGTAAGATTTTTATCAATGGAATAGTTGAAGATCAAGGGAGAAGTGTTGTAATTTGAGATCCATGTGTTGTGTTTGTGTGTATTTGTGTGTATGAAAACCATCCATAGTACTGTTCTATGATATCTTTCTGCTCTACAGTATGTGTCATCCAAAAGGGAATATTTGTGTCCCGTGGTCAAATATATCTATGCATGTCTGAGAACTGAAAAAGACCTGGGCCATTTGTCAAAGAAGTCTTTTGATCAAACTGTAACTTCATTAAGTGGAATTTAGTAATTGGGCAATAAATAACTGGACCCAATTATATGGATAACAATTAAAATACGTTTATCTTGCGTCTTTATCAACAAAGGTGGAAGAACCTTCGTTGAAACGTCGCAAGGTATTTTATTAAGTAACTGTTGTCCATATAATTGTGTCCAGTTATTTCTGACTCTCTCATACTGTCTATGTTATGTTTTGGAGTCCCAGACGGTATAGAAATACTTGACCATGTGACTTTGTGATTGTAGTGTGATTTGTACTGTCTTCTTTAAATTTCTATGTGTTTTCAGTTGCATGGTGTAAGGAATAATATTTCAAAAATTCAATGATACTAAAATCTTAAGGAAATAAATGTTATATTGGCCCATTTGCATCAAATAATATTATGACTAATGTAATTTTATTGCAAGTTACTGTTAATATTTGTAACATAAGTGACAAAAGGGATAAGATTAGGTAAAGTTTATTTGATGCAAATGGGCCAATTTTTTTTGTTTTTTTTTTGAGTGCAGTGTGATTTCAGCAGCTCAACTAATGATCTATTTGATTTAAACACTGAACCCAGCTTTTCAAATAAATTCCCTCAAGATATACAAGGATTTACCTAAAGAATACCTAGAGATTCTAAATATTTATCTCAAAATCTTGATAAAATGAGATCGTAGATTTGTTCACTTTCTATACAGACCCGTAGATAGAGGGGAGCTAGGACTGGCCAGGCCCCCCTGAAAAATTTAGATGACTTAAATGACTTGTGGAGTAGCTAAAGTTGAGCTCCCCTTCTGAGACCCTGGGCTAGCTACAGGCCTGTTTCTATATCTGACTTGATTCTGATGGCATTGATTCAACACTGTAGTACGATGCAAGTTAAAATGAAGCAAAAGGGAGTTTGGGTGGATTGGAAATTGATAACTAGACTCTTCTAAAATTTTCCTAAAATTAGATTTCCACCTTTAGATTTATTCAGTAAAGTTTAAATAAAGCAAACACAATTTAGAGTCTCAAAAATAATCTTCCAAATTTATCTAAAATGAGCTTTCCCCCTCCATCATGCTTTAATGCTTTTTTTCAACTAACCTCCTAGGGAAGTCCAGGATTGGATGCACCATGTCCAATCGGAGCAGACGGATTACCATTACCAGGGTGTGGGTGGAGGGGTCCAACTCAGGTAAACTTTGTTACTAAGCATGGTGTTACAACACTGTTACTTTGCTTGCTACAAAGTTTTACGTTTTTTACGTTCTGAGTTTCAATTTTTATTTTGTTTTGGGCATGATTTTTATTTTGGTTTGATTTTTTTATCCAATTTGTAAAAGATACAGCTTTAGATGTTTTATTTATTTTCTGTGGGTTATCTCACTCATTCAAGAAGAAAACAAGACAAATTATGTGAAGCTGTATTTTGATCCATAAAAGAATTCATTTGTTACTTTTTTTTTTAAATGCATGCATCAATTCAACGTTGAATGACAAAGTAACTTTGATATAATGAAGTGTTTTTCCTAAATCAAACACCGAAAAAAGTGTAAGTTACTAAATGTTAGGTATGTTTTACGTCAATGTGGTAATACATGCTAATTGATAAAGATGATATTGTTTGTATATTGTCCTTTGTAAATTGTGATGACATATATATATATATGTTTACTGACGTCATTGTCATGGTGTTGTTTACTAACGTCTGACTGATAAAAAAAAAATTAAAATACGAAATTTCATGTCTGAATTTTTAAAAAAATGAAATCTTTGTTTGAATAACATGTAATGCTGTATAGAATTGTAAGTACGCAACGTGTTAAAAATGCACAATACATGTACTTCTGTTTGTCACGCTTTTTCAACCACAATATCAGTTGCAGCTGATGGGTCAAGTTGTAAAAATGGAAAAATTTGACAGTCCTAACAGACTGGGGAGGCTTTCTTTCATTTTTGAAAAGCCAAGCTTATGTAAGCATTGTCCTTCCAATGGATGTATCCTAATTTGAATCAAAACTATAATTCAGCCTGCCAACCTATTAAGTTGCTACTATGAGCTTGTGGTGTAATATTTTTAAAAATTCTGATTCTGTGATGAAGGGTGACATCGTAAGAGAAATAAAGATTAGGTTGTTGTGACTTCTCTTCAGGGAAAATGTAATATCAGATATAGCATGGCGATATCAATCAATACAAGTATATGTTGTACAATATAACAACTATATATGATATAATATAATATCGGAATAGTGTTTAAAAAAAAATATTCATGAATATGTTCTTATGAATGGAGCAATCCATTGTCAAATAAAGTTTGTGTTCTTTAGTAAACAATGAATACACTTGCTATTTCAAAATGATGTTTGTTTTTAAATACTAATTGTCAACAAAAGATGAGGTAAACACTAAAATAAGAAATGATTTCGCAAATAGTTGGAAGATTTAGCATCTTTTAAGCTTTAGAACTCTAAGATTAAAGGGTTATTCCGCTTGTTTGTAAAAAGTTTTCATTATCAAAAACGTAAATTATACCTGAAAATATTTCTAAAGTATCTACTTGATCAAACTGAATTTATTTTAAAAGGGTTGATCAAAAACTGAGAGTACTAATTGTTAATTAAGCAGTTAGACCTAGTTTTTTAATTGAACCTTTAAAATACATAGGAGACATAATTCTCTTCAAGGTCACATTTCTCTAGATTTTGGTTTAAAATTTTCACAAATACGAGCAAAAAATATTTTTTACCTACAAAATAAGCAGAATGTCCCTTTAAACAAAAATATAATTGATAAACAGGTCAGTCTGAAGATGACTTAATTATTTTTCTCATTAAGAATTAAAAATATTTTGTGTACATTTGATTTGTGTCCCCGATAGATTTTTAGATATTCCAAAAAGTTCAGGAAGAGTTTTGATTGACCTTCACCTTGTGCAATATTTAAATTTTTTATGAATTTATTTTTGATTTGATTTTTCAATCCTTTTCACCATGCACCTTTAAGCACATTGAAATGTTTTTGTCCACACATGAATTTGATGCACCATGTTTTTAAGCATGCTTGTGTTTTTAGGGATTACCAGGACTCGATGCACCATGTCCTGTAGGGGAAGATGGTCTTCCTATTAAAGGATGTGGAATTACCCCCCTTCCTTCACGGTCTAGAGTACGACGAGTCAGACACCATCGTCGAAAAGATTCTCCATAATTTAGCAGCAGGTAGGTACATTTTGCTTGATAAAAAACAGGAAATGGAAAACAAGGGTAAGAATGTATGTTAAAGGGATGAAGTCATCAACTGATAGAGCTTAAAGTAATACAGTTGTCTTATTTACTACTCAGCTTTATTCAGCTATCTATATCATTTTTCAGAATTGCGATTCCAACATCAGGTTCTCATGCAATTCAAGAAACAAACTGTGAAGGCTGAGAACATGTTCACTTTCAGAACATTACTAACACTGTAACTTGCAGTATCAATGATATCATGTCATTATTCATAACTGCTCCTAAGAATTATAATAATTGTCTGGAAAATGTTATAGATATTGATATTGAGCTTTATCAGCTATATTATAAAGCAAATAATAAGATGACCCAAAAATCATTCTACAGACTTTATATAAAAGCAGTGGCGGCGCCAGCCTTCTGAGACTGTGGGTACAAATAGGGGTCGGACTGACTCCATGGGGGGGACAACTGCTGATGCTGAATTCACATTTTGGCTACTCTGCAGTGGTGTCAAGCCTCTCAGAGAGCGTCTTAGAGAAAAATGAAAAAATGAATTGATTTCGTGCATTCTGACACATATTTTGGAGAAAAAAAGGTAGACATTTAGATTTGTTGAAAATAAAGTGGGGGTACAATTGGGGGTGCAAACCACTTTACTAGGGAGGCAAATGCCCCCCTGTACCCCCACTGGTGCCGCCACCTTATAAAGGACAAAAGTGAAGTAAATATGGTACCTTGAACTTTATCAAATGGTTACGTGTCAAACTGTGCATATTTCATTGCTGTATGTTGATTTGTGTTAATAAATGCTATTAGTCATGGTGCAAGCTGTCCACTGTCCTATTTAACTGGTTCACTATTACTGTAAATTGAGTAATGTAATAATATGGGTTAACAAATTCTATATTTTTAAGAAACCGTGCATTTATGAGAATTTTCATGTGGTAATGAGTTTTATTGAAAAAATTATAATATTGCTATTAACTTACTTACCACTAATAAGTATGACTTATGTCATATTATTGTAGTGCTGGGTATCGTCAATCATGATATGATACGATACAATATGTATCGAGATACAAGAGTCATGATATATGATACGATACAATACTTATCGGAATACACGACTCACGATATGATACATATCGCAATATGGGGTAATGAGATAAAAATTAACATTTAATCTTCAAAGTTTCTATATATATTAATTTATAACTTTATAACTGTGATATTTGGTGCTATATTTGATAGAAGTGCTAAGCATCCACTGTCTTATAAAAAGTTTCTAACAATTTCAGTGAAAAAACTTGTTATATCATAAACCAACTTATAAAAATCTGCACTTTTTTATGGGATGAAAGGTATTGCCAAGTATCGATACACGACGTCGCGATACGATATGCGTATCGTGGCATGTGGTATCACGATACATCAATTCAACTATATGTCATGCCAGCACTATATCATTGAACTATCAGATTGTTATTTTTGGAACTTTGTTTACGAAACTTGGTGCTTAGATAATGGTTGACAAATCAAGTATTTTAAAAAAAACAGATAGTGCATTCTGTAATAAATATCACATGATATTTTAGTGCTTCTTGTACTCCAATTTCAACTTTCAAAAGCAAATTAATTGAATTTAAAGTGTGGTAATATTGAAATTTTGATAATGAAATTTCATCCTTGATATTGTGTAACAAATTATTTTTTAAGAAAATATATAAACAACTTTCACGTGATATTGTTTTAAACTGGTACTTAGCGCTTAATTATCAATCATCAGAAGTGAGTGAAACGAATTAAAAACATCTAAAATATCATTAAAGTATCAGATTTATAATATGAAATGTTTATTGAAATCCAATGCTGTTATTATGACATATTACTTATGAAAGAGGACACCAAGACATGACAGATAAAGGATTAAGAATGAAATGTTATTGAACTGTTTTATAATGTCAAGGAAAGGTAATGACTTCATAATCATCAATTTTAATATCTTGTCTGATAGTATTCAAAACAAGTAACAAGATATACTTTATATGGTTGTCAATCTCAAGGATTTAGCTTTAACCGAGATATACTTTTTGGTAATAAATATATATATGTGTATTGAGACGAGTCCTCCACCTCCTAAAAAAGAGTTCCGTTTTGAATCAGACAGAAATGTGCATGGATATCTTTGCTCGATTCAGCATAACAATGCTACTGTAACCTTATAAAAATTTTAACACAAGTCATCTGGTGTTTATTTGTGATCTGTGGGGATAAAATTGTTGTTGTTTTACTGTCGCGTATCATTTAACGATACTTAAACATGAACAATGAGAGTCAATTAAATGTTATAGTGGTCTCTGCCAAGGGCGAGATGATTTTCGTAGTCAATAACAAACGGATGTACAGTTGACATGAGAGAACAATATTATTTTAACATTTAACGTCAGTTTACACATGACATTCTGTAAGGTGTCAACTCTCTTAACAATCAGTAACAAAATTTGCAACTTAGTTTGATTGCTATAAGACCATTATAAGCTATATGAAACCTTAATATGTAATCTATAACTGCAACATGTTGCACCATTTCTAGTAAAATGCAATACATAAAAATAACAAGCATAAGCACATAGGCACTTATAATGCATGATAAAAGATATAAAACCTGACAAAGTGAAAAATATGTCTGTTTGTGTTTTCAAAAATTCATAACCACAACACCTCAGCTGCATATATAAGTCATAGCATTTATTTCTAAACACTAAATAGTCATTTTGCGAGAATTTTCTCAATCTTTAACTTTCATCGAACTGTTCTACTTCTTTACATAAGATGAAATACATTCATGTCAATAGTGACCTTTATCAATGAGGCTTAAGTAGCAAGGTCAATATTTGGTAAAAACAAACTGGATTTGACATGTATCT